AGATTAATCAGAGTAAATTCAGATTAATCACATTAAATTCAGATTAATCAGAGTAAATTCAGATTAATCACATTAAATTCAGATTAATCAGAGTAAGTTCAGATTAATCACGGATTAATCAGAGTGAGTTCAGATTAATCACAGTAAGTTCAGAATAATCACAGATTGATCAGAGTAAATTCAGATTAATCACAGTAAGTTCAGATTAATCGCAGTAAATTCAGATTAATCGCAGTAATTTCAGATTAATCACAGTAATTTCCGATTAATCACAGTAAGTTCAGATTAATCACAGATTAATCAGAGTAAGTTCAGATTAATCACATTAAATTCAGATTAATCAGAGTAAGTTCAGATTAATCACAGATTAATCAGAGTGAGTTCAAATTAATCAGAGTGAGTTCAGATTAATCACAGATTAATCAGAGTGAGTTCAGATTAATCACAGATTAATCAGAGTAAGTTCAGATTAATCACAGATTAATCAGAGTAAGTTCAGATTAATCACAGTAAATTCAGATTAATCACAGTAAGTTCAGATTAATCACAGTACGTTCAGATGGAGATCAGGTGACAGGAAGAAGATTCGAAGCTGTGAACAAAATGATGTCATTTTTATCCTGAAACTGCTCCACACTAACTGATTTCAGCAGGTAGTGTGGAGCAGATGACTTGTTTTCTAAAGCTTAGGTTAGGTAGGCACACATCTGGAACAGCAGCTGCAGTACAGAAAACTACACACAGCTTTTAGAACACACACTCGTAACCAACAAAAAGACTTAAAATGATGAAACTGCTACGTGTCCTGTTCCTACCACCAGACTCTAAAACACTTCAGGTTCCTGGTTTGAACATGTTGACTGTTCCACCGTGTTTCAAAGGGAATAAAAATATGAGTTCATTGTTTGATTTACACAAAGTTTTTTAACACTTGTGTTGTATAATTCTCTTGTGTTTTTGAATCAAACCTGACTTACGGAACGTGTTGTGGAAGGTGTCTGTAACAGATGGATCCCACTGGCTCTGGAAGAAGGCCAGGCCTGCAGGGGTCATGACCTCCTGGTGTTTTCTGTAGAAATCCACCGTCTTAAATGTGCGCTCCTGCAGGGAGTGGCTGAGGAGGAGAAACGTTACACAGGTAAGACAC